GAACACTTCATCCATAAACCCTCTTTTTGTTCTTAGTCTTAAACTCTTCCTGGATTAGCTTCTTTCTGATTTTAGCTTTCATCTCAAAGCATATAACTTCACTTGCTTTTGTATGTACTTTTTGGTCACCTAACCAAAAATTCTTTTACTTTATTCTACAATCTCTTAATCTTGGATCTAGCCATCCAATTACTTCTACATCAAGAAAGCTGCTGAAAGAATAACCAGCAAACACAGCAAACAAAAATTCATGATAAAGGCTGGATGCCACATTTTTCTTCTTTCACTTAACTGAAGCTTTCAAGTCTTTATTATCACTTTCAGACTATCTTAAAATCCTAAAATCATTTCACTCTGTAGATGATCCTGTATTTCACAGCAAAAAAATGGACTCTCATAAGAAAATCTACTTTTTTTGACTTTTTAAATTGAATAAATTTGACATATAATAATATGTAAGTTTAAGGTGAATAGTGAGTTACTTTGATACATTTATTTTGTAATATGATTGCTGTAGTCATACTTAACACATTAAATAATTATACTATAATATTACTGTTTATATTCATTATAACATGCATTAGATCTCCATGGCTTATTTATTACTTGTTATAAATCTAAACACCACCAATCTTCTCTGCCTCTCTCCATCTCCCAAGTAAACACCGTTTTACTGTTTTTTACAGGATTGACTTTTTTGGATTCCAGATATAAGTAATACATGATAATCCCTTTAAACTTTCTGCCATCTCCACTTCTTACATACAAACTTATTTTCATTTGCAGCTATTTTTCTCTCTTGTGCCCTCAGTTCTCAGAGGAATGGGTGTTTCTTCATGTTCAGAGTAAGCTCCTTAACCTCTTTCTGAATCTCTAGCAATCGCCTGGCTGGCCATGTTTCCGTCCTCTTCCTCTTTTCTTCAAATATCCCTTCACTCTACATGCTGTAATTTGGAAATGTACACACTCAGGGCTATAATGAAATTGTTGTTCTATAATCTATATCCATAATCTCCAATTCAGGACATTTTCACCTGTATGTCCCAGAGGTAACCAAACAATTGCCATTCATTTTTCTTTAGTAAACTGAAACGTAATATTCAGTTCAGTTCAGTCACTCAGTTGTGTCTGACTCTCTGCGACCCCATGGACTGTAGCATGCCAGGCTTCGCTGTCCATCACCAACTCCTGGAGCTTACTCAAACTCATGTCCATTGACTCATTGATGCCATCCAACCATCTCATCCTCTGTCGTCCCCTTCTCCTCCCACCTTCAATCTTTCCCAGCGTCAGGCTCTTTTCCAATGAGTCAGTTCTTTGCATCAGGTGGCCAAAGTATTGGAGTTTCAGCTTCAGCATCAGTCCTTCCAATGCATATTCCGGACTGATTTCCTCTAGGATGGACTGGTTTGATCTCCTTGCTGTCCAAGGGACTCTCAAGAGTCTTCTCCAACACCACAGTTTAAAAGAATCAATTCTTTGGCGCTCAGCTTTCTTTATAGTCCAAATCTCACATCCATACATCAGTTCAGTTCAGTTCAGTTGCTCAGTCGGGTCATGACTCCTGGAAAAACCGTAGCTTTGACTAGATGGACCTTTGTTGGCAAAGGAATGTCTCTGCTTTTTAATATGTTGTCTAGGTTGGTCATAACTTTTCTTTCAAGGAGCAAGCGTCTTTTAATTTCATGGCTGCAGTCACCATCTGCAGTGATTCTGGACCCCCCAAATAAAGTCTGTCGCTGTTTCCATTGTTTCCCCATCTATTTGCCATGAACTGATGGGACCAGTTGCCATGATCTTAAGTTTTCTGAATATTCTAAGAAATCCAGAGTTTTAAGTCAACTTTTTCACTCTCCTCTTTCACTTTCATCAAGAGGCTCTTTAGTTCTTCTTTGCTTATTGCCATAAGGGTGGTGTCATCTGCATATCTGAGGCTATTGATATTTCTCCTGGCAATCTTGATTTCAGCTTGTGCTTCTTCCAGTGCAGCATTTCTCATGATGTATGTAATATATGTATATTAATAGGTAGGCTTCTCCAATGGCTCAGGGGTAAAGAATCTGCCTGCAACGCAGGAGACACAGGAGATGAAGGTTCAATCCCTGGGTTGGGAAAATCCCTTGGAGAAGGAAATGGCAACCTGATCCAGTATTCTTGCCTGGAAAACTCCATGGACAGTGGAGCCTGGCAGGCTATAGTTTAAAGGGTCATCGGACATGACTAAGCACACAGGCATGGCATATTAACAGGTATATAATTATATATTTATATATAATAAAGTGCAAATTGATGGTTGCCACTTATTTTTATACTCCTGATCTTAGACCACTGCTTAGCACCAATATGCTTGTTGAGCCAATTCCACACTACTCTCTATCCTATCTATCCTCTATCCCACTGTCAGGAAGACTTTTCTAAAGCACATATTAAGTCCTTCAATATATTTTGAATGAGTAACAATACAGTACAAAACTACTTGGTTATAATCATCATGATAAGGCCCTAATCTATCTTCATAGCTTCTTTTCCTGTACTGCCCTCACTTCTGAGTTTTTACTATATATATTTCTCTCCCTGCTTTCAGGATCCATCTTCCCTAATCTACCCAGTTCCTCCTAATCTTGACTCAAGGGTTGGGCTTAGTGGTAGGCTTATGACCTGATCCTCCCAGAGTGAGTTAAGTGCCTCTTCACTGTGCTCACATGTTATCCTGTACAGATCTCTACTATAGCACTTAGCATGCTATAGTAATAACTATTGATCTTTTTTACTTATTGAAAGTCCTTAAGGACATAAACCATATTTTATTTCAGTATTCTCAGAACCTTATTAAGAGCTCAGTACATAGCAGACACTCAATGTTTCTTAAATTAGTATGTCTAGAGTTTAACATTTTTTCTTCTCCTATTTTTGAGAATCATAAACAATATTTCCCTTTCCCCTCTCTAGGATAAGTGCCATAGTGAATAAAGGTTTCTTCCATGGCAGAGATTAAATTATAAGAGTCTTCAGTTGCTTACTACTGGCCAGAACAGAAAGATCGGGAAATAGATAAATACCTGTCTCTGTCTTATCGCAAGAATATCTCAATATTCCTACTCCCTAATTCTGTATTTCCCAGTGTTCCTAGAACAGGCACAGCATTGTTGAAGTTTCTTAATGAACCTAATGAGAAAAGAATAGTAAAAGCTGCGAATTTTTGTTACTCTCTTTAAAAACTGATTATGCCTTATACATGAATTGGAAAGGAAAACAAATCCAAATTCTAAACTTCACTTCAATAATCGAGAAAGTGTCATTATCCTATCTCTGTTTCTCTTATGCACCCCTACTGAAGATCTCTAGACCATTAAGTTTACCTAAATAACAATAAGTTTAGTAAATCAACATGAGAATCACACACACAAAAAGATAATTTTTGAGAAATGGAGTGCAGCAGGTATAACACCAGTTTTACAGTAGATGTATCAAATAGAAAGGAGAAAGGGAATTGTGTATTCCTATACTTATGAAGGAAACTAAGAACTGCATGACTAGCATATTTCTTAAGACTTCACAACACCATAGACTAGTAAAAAAAAATTTTTTTTTAATTGAGGGAACCAACATAAGATCCTCTACTTTCAACAGCCTGACAGGAATAATTTAACATAGCAGGCCTTAAGTTATTTATCTTCAGAAAGGCCTATTTGCAAGGCTGGCCCCTTGACTGGCAGCTGGGAATGTAATCTTCAAAAACATTTCTTAAGTGATAAGATTCTAAGTGCTGTGCCAACCTACTTAGACTACCATGAGATTTATGGTGAATAACTACTTTCCCTCTGACACAGGGTGCCTATGTAACCAACCCTTAAAAATAGCCCAAGCTCGTGAGTCTCAAATGGAGTTCCCCATGCCAAAGCACTGAATATAGGCTGGGTGAACTTCTGAAAGCTGGAGAGAGGGTGCACTCTGTATGACTCCTCACAGAAGGGAAAGAGTATAGGAAACCTGCACATGGATTCCTCTAGACTCCACCTGCTGTCTTTTTCCATTAATGATCTGGCTGTGTATTTTTACTAGTCTCTGTAATAAATCCTAGCTCTGAATATGACAATTTTACTAAGTCCTGTGAATCCTTTTAGAGAATCGCAGAATGTCTGGGTGTACTGGGGACTCCCAAAACACTAAGTAATGATACTAACTAAGCAACAAAAAACACAAAAACCAAAAACTCTATGATTATCATTTGACAAATGGGTATGTTAACAAAATTTTGCTCTTTATTCTGACAGTACAGAAACATAGAAACAGTATCAGAATAAAGGATAGAATTTTAAATGGAATAAATTTAGCATTATAAGAAGTTCATTACTTTATTCTTATTTTTCTCATTTTACTGTAGGTTGGTGAAAACCTTATCAAGGACCGTTAACAGACATGCCTAGGAACTACCTAACCAGTAATTTCTGCCTGGATATACCTTTCTTCCAATTTACTTTCTTTAGAAACTGAAAACAATAAGCGGAAATTTGATGTGAACAGGAGTATTTTAAAAAGCTGAAACTTCTGGTAAGACATTAAAGATTTCACTAAAATAATAGTTTATCTTTAACTTATAGTTACAGAATAAATTAATAACAAATTTAGTTCCATGATATTTTAAGATTTGTATCGTCTTCCAGTCAGCCAAGTAACAATATGAAACAAACAAAAAACTAGCTGAGATACTGATACTCTGACTTTTAGTTTGTCATTTTACTTAAAAATTATTCATGGAAGATAACGTACTTATTGTTCCTCAATACAATCATTTTAAAATGAATTCTTTCCATAGGTCACAATATTCTTTAAAAAGTTAGCAAATAAAAACTTCAAATTTCATCTATCAATATATCCCTGTGTTTTAGTTCCTTAAAAAGTTCTTTCTTTAGTTCTAACAACATAATATTTTCCATTGCAAAAGATTCAAATTCCATTCACCAGGATAAATAACAACTTTCAAAACTAACACCACATACCTTTTGCTGTAGTTCTTTTATTGCAGAATCTCTATCCATGCATGCCTGTCGAAAGGCTTCATAAGCTTTATTGAGTTGCTCGCCAATATTTTTATCCATTCCTCTCTGTCCTGTTGCATCACTATAAATGATGGAGTAAATGACAGATCTGGAAAATAATTGAACAATTTACATAGCTATCAAGTAGTATACATCATTTTAAAAATGTGCCTCAAAGACAGTTCTGTATTGTTTATCATGAACATTATGGGATCATGTACTATAAAGTTTTTAAAAGTATATTTATTTATTTATTTGGCCATGTCAGGTCTTAGACGCAGCACATGGGATCTTTCATTGCAGCACAGAGACTCTCTAGTCTGGGTTCCCGAGCCACAGGCTTCAGTCACTGCAGTATGTGGGCTTAGCTGCTCAGTGGCGTGTGGGATCTCAGCTCCCCAGTGAGGGACTGAACCCATGAACCCTTCATTGCAAGGTGGATTCTTAACCACTGGATCATCAAGGAAGTCCCCATATAAAACAGCTTTATGAAGGCAAAACAGTCTCATATAAAATCCTGATCATATTTTAATCCTGGAATATTGTGAAACCTTAACTTCTACAATTTTGAAATATTCTTTATGAATGTTTAAGGAGCAATTAGGGTTCCAGTTCATAAAGATGCTACTTTGCAAATGGTATTCTATAAATGCAAGTTAAAAATGGGAAAATATAAAAGGTCATTTGTTATTAATCTTTTATTATAGAAACACACAACCGGCTTAGCAATGTGAGAAGGGGTTTCTTTTTACTAAATGGACAGTTACTTCCACTTATAAGGTGAATGCTTGCTATACTGAAAATTAAGTAGATAATTAAGCAAAATTAAGTAGATAATAAATGTTTGTGGATGGAGTTCACACTGTTATCACATAGCAATTAAAATGTGTGAAAATGCTCTTATTTTAGCACAAAATCTAGGGAAAACTGCCATTGGATTGTACATTAAAAAAGAAAAATCACACCCCATCAGTCTTACCCCTCCTACTTTATATTAGTTTTCTGACTTCTCTGCTATTTCTGAACTACAGGTGATTTCCTCAGTGGAGGTAATTTAGTTTTATCATCTCAATTTGCATTATATCTTGAAAGACACTCCCTGACTCTGAGCAGAGGACCATCTATCTAATGACTGATTTTTCTTGTCAAGCTGTAAAAACCACACCATGGAGCCTTTCTCTTAATCCTCTGAAAGCCACAGAATAGACAAAGTTGTCTATCAGTCACATGGGGTTTTGGGGATACCAAATTATTTCACACCCTTTATGACTGGAAATCCTTCATAATATCAGTCTCTTTCATAACATCTTTATCTTTGAGTATACCTGCTTTCCATATTTTACGTTGATATAATTCATATAAAATAAATTCACCATTTTAAAGTATACACTTCTGTGGTTTTCTGTATTCACAATGCTGTGCAACTATCACCAAAATCTAATCATAGAACTTTTTTATCAGCACAGAAAGAAACTCTGTACCTGCTAGCAGTTAGTCCCAATTCCCATCTCCCCTGTAACCCCCGACAATCACTAATTTGCTTTCTGACCCTATGGATGTGCTTATTCTGAATATTTAGAATCATACAGTATATATGCCAGTGTGTCTGGCTTTTTTCACGAAGCATAAAATTTCCAATCTTTAAACACATTGTAGCATGTAATAGTACTTCATTGCTTTTTATGTCTGAATAATATTCCATTTTTTGGCTATACTACATTTTACTTATCCATTCCTCAATTAATGGATATTTGGGTTGTTTACACTTTTTGGTTATTTTGAATAAAGTTACAATTTGTGCATACATAACTGTGTGAACACATGTTGTCAATTCTCTTATATATATCCCTAGGACCAGAACTGCTGAGTCAGATGACAGTTACGTTTAACTTTCTGAGGAACTACCACAGACATTACAGTCATTTCCACAGAAGCTATATCATTTTATATTTTCACTAGCAATGCCCAAGAGTTCCAACTTCTCCACATTTTCACCAATAATTACTGTCCATTTAAAAATATGTTAGGATCCTATTGGGTGTGAAGTGGTACCTCAACACAGTTTTGATGTTGAGCATCTTTACAGTGCTTATTGGACATCTGAATATCTTCTTTGGAGAAATGAATAATCAAATTCTTTGCCTACCTTTCATATACATATGCATATACACATACATATATGTACATGTGTATATGTGTGTGTATGTACATCAAACGTCTAGTCAAATCCTTTGCCCACTTTATATGTGCATGTGTGTGTGTGTGTGTGTACACACACACACACACACACACACATATGTGCCTATATGTGCATGCTGTCATTTCATTCATGTCCGACTCTTTGCAACCCCATGGACTGTAGCCTGCCAAGCTCCTCTATCCATGGAGTTCTCCTGGCAAGAATACTGGAGTGGGTTGCCATGCCCTCCCTTCTCCAGGGGATCATCCCAACCCAAGGATCGAACCTGCATCTCTACATCTCCTGCATTGGAAGCAGGGTTCCTTACCATTAGTGTCACCTGGAAAGGCATATATGCACACAGTGTGTATGTGTGTATATACATGTGCATGCATGCTCACTTCTGTCCAACTCTTTGTGACCCCTATGAACTGTAGCCTGCCAGGCTCCCCAGTCATGGAATTTACCAGACAAGAACACAGGAATGGGTTGCTATGTCCTTCATATGTGTATATATATATATACACACATGTATTTATGTATATGTACATGCATATATATAATTTCCAATATTTTCTTCCATTCTGTAGATTATCTTTTTGTTTGATAGTGTCCTTTGACAAAGTTTTAATTTTGATGAAGTCCAATTTATCTTTTTTCTTTAGTTCTTGTGCTTTTCATATCTCAGAAACCCCTGCCTAATCCAACCAAGATCACACAGATTTTCACCTATATTTTCTTTTAGAAATTTTATAATTTTAGCTTTTACATTTAGACCTTTGATTTATATTGAGTATCTGTGTAATACAGTATGAGGTAGGGCTCCAGATTCATTCCTCTGTATGTGGCTGGTGAGTTCTCCTGGCATCATTTGTTGAAGAGGCTATTTTCAACTGAAATGCCCTTGGCATTTTCCCACTGAATGTCCTTGGCATCCTTGTTGAAAACTAGCTAACCATACATCACAATGCCCTTAAATACCTAGGTAATATTTCAATCCTATCAGCCAGTCTTTAATATACTAAGCACACTCCTACATCATTTTCTAGACTTGGTAAAGCATAATTTTCAAAGATTTTATTATGGGGATCAAACTATGGAAACTCTTCAAGAGATGGGAATACCAGACCATCTTGAGAAACCTGTATGCCGGTCAAGAAGCAACAGTTAGAACCTTGCATGGAACAACTGACTGGTTCAGGATTGAGAAAGGAGTACAACAAGGCTGTTTATTGTTACCTTGTTTATTTAACTTATATACAGAGCACATCATGAGAAATGCTGGGCTAGATGAGTTCCAAGCTGGAATCAAGATTGCTGGGAGAAATATCAACAACCTCAGAAATGCAGATGATACCACTCTAATGGCAGAAAGCAAAGAGGAAATAAAGAACCTCTTAATAAGGGTGAAGGAGGAGAGTGAAAAACCTGCTTAAGACTCAATATTAAAAAAACTAAGATCATGGAATCCAACCCCATCACTTCATTGCAAATAGAAGGCAAAAAGGTGAAAGCAGTGACAGATTTCATCTCCTTGGGCTCTAAATTTCTGTGGATGGTGACTGCAGCATGAAATTGGAGGACACCTGATTCTTGGTAGGAAAGCTATGACAAAGCTAGACAGTGTGTTAAAAAGCAAAGACATCACTTTGCTGACAAAGGTCTGTATAGTCAAGGCTATGGTCTTTCCAGTAGTCACAGATGGCTGTGAGCATTGGATAATAAAGAAGGCAGAGTGCCAAAGAACTGATGCTTTCAAATCGATGCTAGAGAAGACTCCTTAGAGTCCCTTGGATAGCAAGGAGATCAAACCAGTCAATTTTAAAGGAAATCAAGCCTGAACATTCATTGGAAGGACTGATGCTGAAGCTGAAGCTCCAATACTTTGGTCACTTGATGTGAACAGCTAACTCATTGGAAAAGACCCTGATGCTAGGAAAGATTGGAGGCAGAAGGAGAAGAGGACGACATAGGATGAGATGTTTGGATGTCATCACCGACTCAATGGACATGAATTCTGGCAAATTCCAGGAGATGGTGATGGAAAGGGAAGCCTGAAGTGCTGCAGTCCATGGGGTCATGAAGAGTTGCGGACACGACTTGGTGACTGAACAACAACAACATTATGGGGATCACAGTGTTTTTACCTTGTGAAGCAATGAAGTGACCGAAGTAAGTGAAGTCGCTCATTTGTGTCCGACTCTGAGAACCCATGCACTGCAGCCTAACCAGGCTCCTTAGTCCATGGAATTTTCCAGGCAAGAGTACTGGAGTGGGTTGTCATTTCCTTCTCCAGGGAAGATCCAGGGGATCTTCCTGAACCAGGGATCAAACCTGGGTCTCTGGCATTGCAAGCAGACGCTTTACCATCTGAGCCACTAGGGAAGCCCTGAAGCAATGAAAGTGATACTTTTTTAGGCATTCCAGTTAGGAAGTCTGTTTTTATTGCTACCTCTGATAGATGGAAAAGATGAAACACTGTTAAGATAATTAACATTGCCAGGATCTCTAACATACCATAGACGCTATGGAAACAGAGTAATTAGCATTAGCACAAAGCATCATTTTGAGTATTTATTTAGATACAATTATCATTCAAAAAAGAATTTAGGGTGGCTTTAAAAAGCACATGAGATTAAAAGTAAGTATATGAGCAGGAAAAGAAAAATAAGGGTAGGGAGCTATAGGGAATACAGTATACTATAATACGCTCATACAGAAATTAGACAATTTAAGTAGCTATGTGGCTTGATTGCCTAAAACTGTCTTAACAAACTGCAGATGTCATAATAAACTGTCAATGTAAACCACACTTAAAATCTGGGACAAACAAGAATCTTGAACTGGGAACTCATCTAGTTTCTTGTTTTATTCTGTCACTGACTGACTGTGGGACCTTATTTCAGGGCTACTAAATCTTTTTGGACCCA